CCAAACTACTCTTTGGAGGCAAGGATTTTGAAGCTCTGTCTCACATCCTTTAAGCATATTGCCAGGAGGAATCAGTCCTTGGAGAAGGACATCGTGCTAGGAACAGTGACGGGATAGCACAAGAGGGGAGGAAGACCCTGAATGAGATAGATTGACTCAGTGACTAGGGTAGTGAAGGTAGTTGTGTCAGGGACAGTGAAATTGGCTCAGGATATGGCAGGGTTCAGAGTAAATGTACATAGGGTTGCTGTGAGTCTCAGGTGACTCCATGGTACATAAGAACAACAAAGGTCACAAGGTCACTGAGTAGATTTTTAAATGAGAATAAAGGAAATTTTGAGATGCCTCATTAATTCTAACCAATTCCTTCTCTTCAAAGGAAATATATCAAACAACACAAGATACAAAAACCCCCAAACATATGGCCACCTAATAGATTCTGATGCATGGTGACCCTATAAGGAAAAGTAGAACTCCCAAAGTGTTGGGGAATGTTGGAGGGGGAGGGAGGGCCTCTGGCCAGGACAGATTGCCTAGCTCTGGGTAAGTGCAAGCCTCCAACAGCCTTTAATATGGGGCAGAGAAAACTCTCCTGCGTTTGGCAGTACCAGCTTGAGAAAGCTCGCCATCTGGGAAGATGGCTGCCTCATCTGTTGAGCTGGGATTAGTCTGCACAAGGCTGAGGTTTTATTCTATCCACATGTCTCACATCTGCAAGCCCACCCTATTCTGTCTTCCTGTTTACTCACTCATATGTAAGTGCGCTGCAGCCCCCAATAAAATTGAGCTGGATTGACTCTCTGATCGGCTCCCAGAGTGGTGTGTCTCCGTCATGATTACCCCCATTAGGGTGTCACTGTTCATTGCTGGCAAACAGACAGCGACATCGAAGGACTTTCCAAGTCTGTACTCTTTAAGGGACCAGACTGCCACACCTTTCTTTAACAGAGCAGCTGCTAGGTTCAAACTATTGACAGCTGAAATGGCCACTGAGCACTGAAGCAATATGGAACCAGGGCTTCTATCTGTCATTTTGTTGTTGTTTTCCTGGTTTTTTATTTGCTTTTTAAAAATTAGTTTGTTTACAAAATTCATATACATTATGTTTCACACTACTCTTCATTCACATTGTGATTCATACAATCATTCTAATGCTGTATGTTTTATAAAATTTATCACCATTGGACCTTGGCTGGCCATCATTATTATCCTATCTTTTTGCCTGGATCTTTTACAATTTCTTCTCCTCTTCCTCTCTCTCCACTCACCAAACTGTGCTACCCTGTGGTTTCACCCCTATCTATTACAGCCCTCCCCCCTTGAATTTCCATATGTGTTTTACTAGTTGTCCCTCTGTTTTTACAATATTGATTTTATGCAGTATATGTTCTTACATGACTGTGTTAGTTTACTCAGAATAATACTCTCCAGCTTTTCCCAAGTTATGTAGTATTTTTCAAAATCATTGCTCCTGAAAGCTGTGTAGTATTCCATTGTGTGAATGTATCATAATTTCTCAATCCATTTGGTTGTGGTTGGACATTTGGGCTGTTTCTACGTTCTTGCAATAGTGAATAAGGCTGCTATGAACATTGGAGTACAAATCTCTGTGTCTCAGTTCCAATTTCCTTGGGGTATATTCCTAGTAGTGGAATAGCTGGGTCATATGGAATTTCTGTGTTCAATTTTTTGTTCAACTTCCAGAGTGGTTGCACCATTTTGTAATCCTATCAACATTGTATCAGAGTTCCCACCTCTTCACATCCTCTTCAATATTTATTGCTTGCTACCCTACTAAACTTTGCCACTGCTACTGGGATGAGATGGTATCCCATTGTGATTTTGATTTGCATCTCTCTTATTGCTGGTAATTTTGAGCATTTCTTTATGTGTGTGTTGGCCATCTGAATGTCCTCCTTTGTGAAAAGTCTTTCCATGTGTTTTGCCCATTTTGTAATTGGGTTATCAGTCTTTTCTTCTGGGGACCAGGAGTATTTTGTAAACTTTGGTATGAAAGACCCTTGTCTGAGATGGTATTGCCAAATGTTTGTTCCCAGTCAGTAGGCTTTCCTTTCACTTTTAGAAAAAGGCTTTTATGCATATGAGGATTTAATCTTTAGAAAGTCCCATTCATCAATTTATTCTCCCCAGATTGTGCATTTGTGGCTGTGTTTGGCAGTCTCTTTATACCACAGGCTGGGCCTGCTAAGCTTGGTCCTAGTTTGTCTCTTATGAACTATATGGTTTGGGGCTTTACTCACAGAACTCTGATCCATCTTGAGTTGATTTTTGTGTATGGTGTGAGATGCAGATTCTGTTTCAGCTTTCTGCAGGTAGCAGTCCAGTTTTGCCAGCACTGTTTGTTGAAGATGTCTTCATTTGGTAGGTTTTGTTTTCTTGTCGAATATTAGGTGACCATTGATAAATGGGTTAATTTCTGGGTTCTTGATTCTGGGTGGTTTTGGTGTTTGGTTTCTTTTAATTCTGTCATGTTGTTAGTGGAGCCCCAGTTATGCGTGAACTCATGCTTTGGTGCTGCAGATTGGTGCCAGGGACTGGCGTGCTGGGGGCTCAAAGGCGGCTGGTAGGACTGATTCTTTCAATGGAGACACGGAGACCCTTAAACTGTTTCTTCAAATCCTTGTGAACTAATCAGAAATTCCCATTACTTCCTTTCCCCTATGCTTTTAACTTCCCAGCATTCAGCCAGACCAAATGTGATCACAACTGGCTGCTTGGTCTACTCCACACCTCATTCATTTACTTCTTATAGTTAAGATTTCCCAGAATTGTCAGAGGAATATCTTTATTTTAAAGAGTGAACTGGTTTTATGAGGTGTGTTATTTTAGTTTTGTTTTGTTGTATGGGTTTGTTTTTGTTTTTTTAATAGAGTTATCTCATGAATAATCTTAAATTGTCTTGAAACTCTTCTTTGCATTCATCTGTTTCTGATATTGAAAAGCAGAGCACACATTGTCTTAAGCTTTATTTACTTTACCAGGCTAAAGATTTTCCTTAATTTTTTCATACTGAGGACTAACAGACTTTCCTGTGTCCCTGTCTCTCTTTTCAACTGATTTGACTAATGACTTAATTTTGTTCTTAAAGTGTCAGACACTTCCAATTGTTGAAGTTATTGGTTTGACTGACTTTTAAACAAAATGAATCAATTGTATAACGTGGTTAAGTAAACCCAAATATATTTTGGTGAAAGCCTGCTAGTTACTATAAACTGTTTTATTTGGTGTTTGCAGTTTCTCACTAGTTATTAAAGTGGTTGATCCTGGAGGACTTTTTACAACTGGAAACCTAAAGATTTTCCTCATCAATGTCAATGATAAGGACCCTATTCTCACCTGCAGGTAAGAAAATAACCCCTAATATATTATTTTAACTTGACCTTGCAAATTCAATAGCAAGTTATAGTTTCTGAAATCTGTGAACAAAATTTCCATTATGGTGGAATCTTCTTTATTTTTCCTGTGAAGAAGGAAAATAGCTAAGTACAGTGTCAACAACCACTTAAAATTCTGAAGACATCCTTCTTTTTTTATTATTTTTAATTTGTGGGAGAAAAAAACATTTCAAAAAAAGGCTAAAGAAGGAACAGATTGGACAAAATATTCAATTAGAAATATACAATGACGTATATTAGAAATTATCCACAGGCATGAGGTATTCAAATAAGTAAGACTCTGCTACCATTCCATGAAATAATATGGTTTAAAGTGAAAACCCAAGTCACATATACATAAATGTCAGTAGTGGAACGATCCATCCTTTTTACTTGCAAAGGATAAACAGAAAACTATATTTCTATAGGACATTTAGAAAGAGTTCTCTTCACTTTAAGAAGGAAGACGTCCTTCTTCAAAATGGAAAATAATATTGTTTCAAAGTATAAAATGTATTAAAATATGAACTAAATAGGGTGTTATCAGCAAAATATATCCTCAGAGTCTGCTGTGCTTTGTTATTTCTCATTGACCTTCAGGATAATGATAATTAATATTCTCTGCTTAAAAAAATCCTAACAGTGGGGAATTTCTTTAAACATTTTAAGGGCTAGTAATTATGTGAAACTGGCTCTTATTATATAGCGACAAGAGCATGGAGGTTAAAAAGACTGTCTAGAGTCCAATCAACTGGAGATCAGAGCATCTTCCTGCCGCCTAAAAATCAGTTATTAAAATTAAGTAATTTCTTCAAGTTCCTTAATTTCTCTAAAATTTCAATTTTACATCTGTAAAATAAGGACAAATATTGCACCCACTGCTACAAATATTGTGAGGGGAAATATGAGAAAATAGATGAAAAGTGCTTTAACAATCCACCAACTCATTACTGTCATGTAAAACTGACCCTCCAGCAGGTTTTCAGAAGCTGTAATGGAGGAGACTGCTCTTCTCTCTCCCCTAGAACCACCAGTAGATTTGAAACAAATCCCTTTGAGTTGGCAGTACAATTCCTTACCCACTAGGCCAGCCAATTAGCACTCCTGTGAAAAGTGCTTAGCACTAAACTATAAATACTGAATGACTAGGTTACAATAAATGACATGGTCAAAACTTCCACTCATTGTTACAGTCTTTAAACCACCAGCTCTCCTCCCACCATGTCAGTATAAAAGAATGTACAATAAGTCAGTGCCACTTTATTAACCTTTTCTTTTAAAATAAGTTTATTTAGCATCGACAACGCAGTCTTGAATGTTACTTCTGTAAACTCAACCGTGCACAGTAAAGGTGACTTTACATTAGATGAAGAAATTCCAATCGGGAAAACGGTGGGCATGTGCCAGGCCACAGATGAAGACAACTTGGGAGATTTAACCTTTGGATTAGATCCAGGAAACACTTACTTCGTAGTTGACAAAGGTAGGTTGTGAATTATTCTCAGTAAATGATATCCCTTAAAACATAATACTATATCTGTTTATTAATTATATCTCTTTCAGAAGACTGGGTTTTCTGGGGACAAGCATTGGGTTTTCCTCATTCCTATAAATCATTGTGAAGGACATAGTAGATACTGGGTAAAACTATTTAACACCTCAATTTGCTTGAGGACTTATTCGAGATCTGATGTCTGGTCCACATTTCTGATCCCTTATATCTTACAGTTAGGAGCTGAATGTCAATGTTTCTCTCTCTCTCTATCTCTCTCCCAAATATTCTTCGTTCATTCATTAGGAACTGCTACAAATGTCCTGGCTCTCCACATGACCTCCCAAAGTCATCTTCTCAGACCTAGTTCATTCTTCTTTCTGCCTCAGAACCAAAGTTATTGTGGGAGAGAATCTAATTGGACTTTCTAGTGTCAATCATTTCCTCCTCATCCAGTCAGATATGGCTGAGACAAGGCTTCTTCTGGGGTTGAATAGAGATAAAAAGTTGGCATTTCGAGTGAGTAAATGTACAGGTTACAGCCGTTGTAGCAGTCGCTGTCATTCTTCCACCCAAATCATTTCAGGCCATTCCAGATTGTCAGGTTGACTTCTGGCTCCCAGAATCTGTGTTTCTTGGGTTTTGGGTTTTTGTTTGTTTGTTTTTTACTTGAGAATTTATTTGGGGTCTGATGCTTGTTCCACACTTCTGATCTCACAACAGGTTGTAAGTATTGGAGAAATACTACTTTTTTCACCCTCCTCACTCCTCAGCTTTTAAATAACAACTGAAGGAAGTTGCTGTGTAATTACTCTCATTCTCTGTTTCTGGCACAGTATAATTCTTTTATGCACTCAAAATATGGGATTTATTTTAGAACTATTGTGCTACCATGACTCTTCTGACATTTTTCCCATTGCAAACATAATGCATATTCATACAAGTAAATTCTAGACACATTTGCCTATAAATTGAAAGAAATTTTTCTACATCTGAAATGAGTCGTACTTATTAAAAATGGGAATTAATAACAAATACTCTGTATAATGATGTCTTTGTAACAATGATAGAGTATAATTGTTACTAATTTCCTTTTTTATTTTTATGCTTTATGCTGGTGTCTAGACTTCCCCGTGGTGTGATGCTGCAGTTGCTAATAGTGGTGACATTTGACAGTGCACTTTTTATTGACAGCCTTTTCTTTCTTGTCTCCTTCTGTCACACCATGTCCCTAAGTTTCCTTGCTCTCTTCTCAAATAAACTCCTTGCACTGCTGGTAGGTTTGCTTTGGAGAAACTCCCCACTAATAAAGGTACCTTCCTCTCTTACCTGGATTGCCTCATGGGCCTCTTTACTGGGCATCCGCCTTTTCTCCTTACCCCTCCAATAGTCTGCTCAAAGCAGAATGCATTTTCTTTCTAAGCCAAATTGGATCACATTTTCTGTCTTTACTTGGTATACGATCAAGATTTATTTTTTTCAAATTTTTATTGATTCTGCGATGATGCATCTATTAGAACACCTTTGGATAAATAATGAAAACAATTGACCTCTGGACAGCCATTGAGGACAGATTGTTGAAACTGCAGTAACAGAGGTGTGCTGTGTAAAAAAAATTATATATATATATATTTT